CTAGGACAGGGTAGAGCTACTCCCAGGAGTTTCTGACACGGTAACCCTTTACTGGAGTAGAAAATCCCATCTTTTTCTGGAGAACTGATGGTGGTTTCGAACTAAAAACCTCATGGTTCACAGCAAAACGTGTCACCAGTACACCACCAGGACTCCAAGGAGTGCCTTATAACCGGAGCTGGAGTCCTAGCTTCTTTATCCTTTCCCCACACACATGGGACTGTATGTGTGTGGTCTTTTTAAAAAAAACAAAAACACAGAATCTAAGCACCAATGTTCTGTTTCAGAGTGAGAGCATTTTCTTTCTCCCCTTGGGAATGTCTCGGTGCCCTGAGCACGGTGACTGTCCACGGCAGCCTGTCTCTCCCACTGAGCTCAGGGAAACTGTTAAAAGGCCTCCTTTCAATCAAGCTTCCATGTGTCTGTGAGTATATTACTTCCACAAAACCTCCTGCATTGGCTAAATTTAATTTAATTTGATTAGGGTTTCTAATAGCACCCACTAGACATGGAAGCAAATAATTTAATAGTGGTCTATTCCTCTTCTCACCATTTCTAACGAGAAAAACAATTCAAGAGCTCCCTACTAGAACAGATCACTGTAACGAGCAGCGATCAATCACCGTGCCTGTTTGACATTAAGTTCATGATTAAAGCAGAAAGATAAAAGTGGTTCCAGCTAAATTCAATTATATACAAACTCCAGAGAGCCTACGTGCAAAACAGCAAAGGTTCTATCCTTAATCTTCCAGAGAAACAAGACCAATTTAAATAACAGACCTTTGATTTAATCAAGAAGAGAGCCAGTTTGTTTGTTGTTTTTGCTAGAAAGGAAATAAAGATAAACATTGGACCTATATCACTGAAAAGTTAAGTTCGTTTACATTGCACAACGTCCTCTTGTGACCCCCACCGCCATCGAGTCCATGGTGACGCATGGTCCAGGCTCGAACTGCCCCTGTAGGTTTCCAAGACGGTCACTCTTTCCGGGCGTAGAAAGACTCATCTTTCTCCCTCGGATCAACTGGTGGCTTGAAACTGGTGACCTTGTGGTTGGCAACCACTAAGTAAACCCGCCTGCCATCGGGGATCCTTCAGCACTGGGCTGCTAACTGCTAGGTTAGCATCGAACCCACCAGCTGTCCTGAGGGTCAGAGTTGAGGCTCTCTCCGCTCCTGCGAAGATGACGGGTTGGTTGCGGTTAAGAGGGATGGCAGTGGTTTGGGGTTTTGAGTGGATTATTTGTCTTTAGAATCTGTGCGACAGATGGTTCCCGCGACCCCTCGGCTGCCCTTTCCTCCGTGCGAGCGCTTCACATACGGATACCGTTTCAGAGTGGAGGCTGTCTTTCCCGTTTGGACCCTCCAGCTTGTTTCGTTTTCCCCATCATGCAGCTAAGAATACCTTGTGTCCCTTCATTTTAAAACAAACAAGCGGTCTTATTGGCACATATTCCACATAGCATACAATTCGATAGTTCTACCACAGCACGAAGAGTTGTGCAATGATTGCCACAATCAATTTTTGAACCTTCCCTTCTTTCTGTTCTTATTGCTATTGACTCGCCATCTTCCTCCACCCCTGCCATGCTCTGAACGAACCATGAATTCCATTGCTCTCTCCGTAGATTAATCTACCCTGGATTTCATCTATAGAAAAATATACACACACACCAAAAACCAAAAAAGAAAACTAGCCAATAACAAAGTAAAACAGAGAAAAACCTCAGTAAAAATAGTGGCAAACTAGAACAAATTTTAAATGAGTCAAAAGGGAGATCCTACGATAAGATGTTCAATGTCAGCTAGGGACTTCTGCAATGCTGCACTTCCCAGTGCACTCGGCACAATGACAAGACTGTCCACACTACTGGGCTAAGGTCAGAGGGGACTTGCTGGAGGGTTAGTCCACCTGTATTTCCCCTGTGCTTGTTTTTAACTGAAACAACTTTAAAATGGGTCAAAATAGAGATCCAAGTGAACAGAGAGCCCATTTTAACCTAACTATCTGCTTATGGTCTCGGAAACTCACAGGAGCTGTTCGACCGTGCCCTACAGGGTCGCTTACCAGTTGGCATTGACTCTATGGCCGTGAGGGATTTGGGTTTGTTTGCTTAATCGTTTTATTGAGGGCTCTTACAGCTCTTATCACAATCCATACATCCATCCTTCTGTCAAGCACATTTGTACATATGTTGCCATCATCAATTTTCAGAACATTTTCTTTGAGCCCTTGGTATCAGCTCCATTTTTTCCCTCCCTTCTTCAGCCTCCCTCCCAAGTTTTTAAATATCTACCATAATCAACATTATCACGGTTTGTCTGATAGCAAGGCTATGGGCCAGAGGGAATCATCAGAGGCTTAATCTACTTGTGGACCTTGCAAATGGATTTTGGGCTTCCACTGTGATCCATAGCCTTCTGAAAAGCAGGTGTTCACAATTTAAGCTCTGAAACCATTCCCTCCTTCGTGTTTGGATTATATTACTTCTAATCTTTGGATCACAGGGCTG